CTACTTCTAGTTTCAGTTTCCAGCCTAGGCTACTTTTAGTTTCAGTTTCCAGCCTAGGCTACTTTTAGTTTCAGTTTCCAGCCTAGGCTACTTCTAGTTTCAGTTTCCAGCCTAGGCTACTTCTAGTTTCAGTTTCCAAAACAGTCCTCATTGGCTGACTTAGTTGCTATGCCTCTTCATTGGCTGACCTTGTTACCAAGCTCTATTCCAGTTCATGAATATACTCTGACAATAGCTTTTGGGGAAAATAGCCCGTTTCGCAGGATTCTCGTTACCTGTTGGCTTGACTCTTAACATATGCCATCCCCTTGATTTTTTTTTTTTTTGTTTCTTCCTGCAATCTGACAAAATTAACATGCATTAAACCCAAAATTATTCTCACTTCCAATAAGCGAAGGCGGGGCTGTCCATCTCAATGTCATTGAGGGCTGCATCAGGGCTCTGGTTGACCTCAGGGGGCCGGGTAGGTGTGGCCAACGGTGGGTGTGGCAAATGGGCATGGCCAGCTTGCCGCCGTTCACGGGGCGTGGTTGAACGGGTGGACACGGCCAGCTTGACACCACTCCCCAAAACTGCTGGCATGTTTCCTCTTCCCATTGGGTAGACCAGGCTGAAGCCATTCGGGCCGGCCCCTGATATTTTGCAGGACGGCCCCGTGGGCTGGATCCGACCACATCGTGGCCCGAATCCAGCCCGCGGGACACCTCTGAGCTAGAGCAATTGTGGCTAGAGACACAGACTAAAGACACAGCTTTTAGTCTTGTGTTTGTAAGCAGATTCTTACAAGAAGAGAGTTGGATGTTGGTAGTTGTTGTAGGAAGAGGGGCACCATGGGACGAAATACGTGTGTTCCTGTTTTGTTCTGGAACTCATCCAAATCTAACGCTTAAATATATATTTTTTTCTCCTCTGAGCACATCTGGAAACACCGGTTTATTTTGATGCTACCAGTCATACTCAACACACTCCCTTAAAGGTAATATATCGTTTAACTGGTGCAGTGGCCTCATTTTGTTACAGGACCTTTCAACTACTCTTGTTTCCCTGAAAGTACGACCTACCCTGAAAGTAAGTCCTGGCTTGATTTTTTACACTTGATTATTTCCATATAAGCCCTACCTCCCAAAATAAGCCCTAATTAAGATCCCGCCCACTCCAAAGTGCATGGATAAAAATTAAGCTAGGATGAAGATGGGAGGGTGGTGGAGCTGCCCTACTACTTACCTTTGGACAGTTGTAGCCAGGCCTCGCACACCCCGACACCTGACTCACCGGCCCATTTCTTCTGCAGCCGGCAAGGCTAGCAAGGCTTTCCTGAAGGCCTCTGTAGCTGATAACAAAGAAGCTCTGGATCGATCCTGAGCTCTGTTATGGGGCTTTGCTGGCTGCAGAAGTTCCTGAAGGCCTCTGACAGCGAAAAGGAGGCCAGGGGCGATGCAGGCAAGTGAGGTTAGTCAGGGGATGATGTCCCCCGAAAATAAGGCCTGGTGCCTTTTTTGGCGCCAAAAAAATATAAGACAGGGTCTCATTTTCAGGGAAACACGCTTTCCTTAGGGTGCCCTTGTGATTGTTGCGTGCTGGCATTTCACTTACATGCGTCAAATGCTCTGCACATTGCTAGCTCGGAAGACTTTGCCTCCCTCCCCCTTTCTAATTTAAAACACTTTTCTTTTTGGAGCTCATCAGTAAAACGCAGAGCCCGTTCCCCTTTGAAAAAGGTAATTGCGTTTTCGCACCTCTGCTTTCCACTTAGCCGAGGAAGTGCGTGTTTTCTGCTTAACCAGCCCGTCCTGATTCATCTGCATCTTAACGTGACGGTGTTAGTGATTTACCTTTCAGCTAATTATTGCAAAATTAGTCGCTTTTCTCTTCCTCCGCGTTGCCAAATTATGCAGATCGGCTCTTTTTTTTTTTTTCTGCCGTCGTTCTCTTTTTGAGAAGGAGGAGGGAGATTGCAGATGGAGATGTTACGCTGTCCCTTTGGTAGGTTGATCAAAAAAACCAATAATGCGAATAGAGGGGGAGAAAAAAACATTTTTAACGTTTCAAAGGATCTTGGTGCGGATCTCACAAGTGGGGAGGGGGGGGAGAGAAAATGCTGGTTTTCCTTTTGAGATGCATCAAAAAAACATCTTTAATGTTTCTTTTATTTTGGAAATGATTCAAAGGATACATTTGTCGAGGTGAGGACTGGGCGTGTGTGTCTGTGTGCATGGTAATTTGGGAGCATGGTTTGCATAGAAAGGGTATTTAAAATAGCCACTACTTGTCTGGATCACGTGAAATAAAGAGAAATACCAACTTGAGCTACTTTGTCAGTGCCTTGCCGCGTGTGACTTACAAACCAGTGTATGTAATAACAATAGCAATAGCACTTATATACCACTTCACAGTGCTTTCCAGCCCTCTCTAAGTGGTTTACAGAGTCAGCCTCTTGCCCCCAACAATCTGGGTACTCATTTTACCCACTTAACAACTTGTTGTTGGCCAACTCTCCATGGCCAACTCATGAAAGGACAATTCTCCATGGCCAACTCATGGCAGGTCAACTCTCCATGCCCAACTCTGCGCAGCCAACTTGCCATGGCCAATTCTCCATGGCCAACTTGCTATGGCCAAATCTGCACAGCCAACTCTATGGCCAATTCTCTATGGCCAACTCACCACGGCCAACTCGCCATGGCCAACTCACTTTGGCCAACTCTCCACAGACAACTCTCCACGACCAAGTCACTGCGGGACAACTTGCTGCAGGACAACTTGCCATGGGACTCCTTGCCAAAATTCAACAATTCAATTTAATAATTTAAAATAATTTTGAAATATTTTATAATTTTTGTCATTCGCATTTCATTTTGTCCTTCCTTTTCCATCCTTTCTTTAATTATTTTGTTCCACCATTTCTTATATGTTAGTATACTTCTCATCCAACACGGTGAGTTGGATGTGTCAAGTTGGCCATGGTGAGTTGGTCATGTCAAGTTGTCCTAGACCCACTTGCTGTGGTCCACAGGACTTGCCTAGCAGCAGTTGGCAACAATCACAAGCACTGTATCTATGGGGAGTTTCAATCACTTGAATTGAAGAAGCTTCTTGGGTGAGAAGTGAATTATTTTCAAGGAAAAAACCCCAAGAAAGTTGTCAGCATTCCAAGTAACAAACTCCAAACCAATAAACTCCAAGACGAGCATTTTCTCAAAGTTCCATTTTATTAGAGTTGTCATATTGGCACATCTGGGAAAACCCGAATCGGAGAGTTCTGGGTTTTCCCTTTGTTAATTGAAAATCCAAAACCCACCCCCTGTACCCATCAGTCCATCACATGGTCCAATCACCAGCCATCCCAACTGAAGACATCCTTCCAACCACTCCTTTCCCAGGTGCAGGGTCACTTGTCCTTGACTCAGAAGAAGAATGTTGTTTTGTCTAAACTTCCACCTCTCTGTAAAATCCCCCCTCCCAAATTCCCAGGCACTAGAATGTGGCAGCGCGGAAGCTTCTAAGTAAAATATGGCTTCCAAAGCTGACAACAGTCCAGTTGCCTTTTGGAAAAAGCATATATTGGCCAACCACAAATGAGAGGGTGAACATTAAGTACCAATAGAAGAGACGTGCACCATTGATTGGCCTAACAACAAAATAACACTGAACTTTACAACATTCAAATATCCTGCAGAGCAACTCAGGAAATGAGGTGAGTTTAAGGTGTCCTGACCAGAGGTGGCATTCAGCAGGTTCTGACCACCGGGAGCAGAAATTTTGAGTAGTTCAGAGAACCGGCAAATGCCACCTCTGACTGGCCCCACCCCCACCTATTCTCCACCTCCTGAGTCCCAGCTGATTGGCTGGGTCTTTTTTGGTTGCCCTGCACAGGAGAATGGAGCTGGAAAGCAGGTTAGTGGGGTGGGGAGAGAATGGGGATTTTGCAGTAACTTTCCCCTAGGAGTTGGGTAGGAATGGAGATTTTACAGTATCCTCCCCCTGCCATGACCACCAAGCCACGCCCACAAAAAAATTTTTTGAATCCCATTCACTGGTCCTGACTTGAATCATTCATCATCCCCAGCCAGAATGGATTCAGAAATG